GCATGGCTGACAATTGGAACAAAACCCCACACTCATGACTGCGGACATTGCGGCATTCTTTGTCGCAAAAGCTATAACGACCACGGCCACTGCCAATATTGGCTAATCCTAGGACATGTGACTGGTATTGATCAGCATGAGCTACCATCATCGGGTGCTGATCGGTGTAGTGCTTACGGATGGATCTGGCGGCAATCTGACAGTGACAAAAGGCACAGTGGCAGGACAATTCCGTGATGAGGGCTTGGTTCAACAGCAATCCCGGAATCGACTTGTGTCGTAAATGCATCTTCAGGTCAGGTCGCGCCACAATCGGGATGATCGACTCCTGGGCCGGGTTGAATGAGCGGCAGATACGTCTGTTAATGTGATCCCTCAATCTATAAAAATCTACAAATGAGTGCGAACAGTGGGAACAAATCGGACGACCGTTCCAAGCGTCCCTCAACGGTTGATACAGATCATCTGGTTCACATGGGATGTCGTGAGCTCGTCTCATGTGCCGTTTAAGTGCTCCCACCTGGTGAAATGCTCGTAGGCATTCAGGGCACTTGAGTTCCTGAGCAAGCTGTGGGTCCGGGGTTTCATCAGGCATGTGAAGGTCACTCGGCCACAAGTCTGGGATGCAGGCACAAGCATCAGGTGAGACATCTGTCATGGCTTCCAGTCGAAATCGTGTGGCTCTGTTCTGCAGTGCCTGTTGAATACGCTGCTGCTGCTGTTGCAGTTGTGTCCAAGGTGGCTGGAGAGCAAGCCTATCGAAGAAACTCTGCGTCGATTCATGCGTCAGGCAAACAGGGGACTTAGTCATGATCCGATGGTGTGTATTGATCATGCTGACAAGTTTGGCAAGACCTCGACGGGTGATTCCCATTTCATGAATGCCATAACTAACCGTGGCCATGACACATTGTCTATAGAATTTCAGGCGTGTCGAGAGGGGGTGAACCGTGCTGGTAAGCCAAGACCTAAGTTGAGTGAAGCACCATTTGGCTGCCGTTATCCGACGCATGGTGGTATCAAAGTCAAATGCACGATAGCTCAAAAACACACCAAGATAGGCTGTTTTGGACACCAACGGGAGCCGCCAGTGTTTCCCCGGCAAGATGAGTTCAGGGCCATCCGGCTTTCGATGGACCCAACGGCGTAAGAAGCCAGGGGCTTCGCGACCAACCAGGCGAAGAAGAGCAAAACTTTTTTGCATGTTGATTATGAGGCCAAATGCACTAAATGTATCCAGGACATGTTGAAGTTCAGTCAATGCCTCCAGGGCATGAGAGTGTGTCTGGATGATCCAACGGAGATGGACATCATCTGCGTAGACAACCACATGGTCGCGGAGCCATGCAAGCGAGAACCTAGCTTTAAGATCTAGGAGGATGGCACTCATCACAAGAGTCCAAAGCAATGGGGCATCTTTGGATCCCTGTTTGATGCCCCTGCATGCGGTGACATGACCAATGAGTTGTTTAAAAGGAATACAATATTTATGAGGTGCCAATCAGGAGTGGATCATTCTAAGAACATCCACATCGAAATGATATGGATCCAGTGCTTGAAGGACCTTAGATCTGGCTACTGTGTCAAAGGCCTTTTCCATATCCAAGGAGATCTGCAAGCCACCCTGCATACCCGGTGCATTGGGACTCGAACGAAATTGACTACAAGTGTCACGAACTTGTCGGCAATGTGAGGCCACAATGAGAAGGCAATCACGAGTTCCCCGGGAGGGCAGGTAAACATACAGTGGCAGTTGTCTCAAGGTTGGAAAGGTCTGTGTCAGGATCAATTGACACTGTATGCCAACAAACGCCTTGTTGACTGGATGCTGAAGGCATATCCGTCTCAGTGCTTGTGGTTTGGATGGAGTTTTGTTCGGCTTGGGAAGGAGGTGGATCCAACCCGTTGTCCACTGTGACGGAGGTTGTATGGGAGACTCCATCCAACATTCAACAAAGGTGTTCATAACAGGCCATGCAAGTTCCGTGGCAAAATGTTTCCACACCAATGCTGGCAGGCCGTCAGGTGCCAGGACCTTCGTATTGGGCAGCGCTCTCAGTGCATCAGTCATAGCCTGACAATCGAACGGTGCGGTTTGGAGAGGTTCAGTGTTAAATTGGGGCAGGTGAGCATCTGAGTACAAGGCAGTATAGTATTGTTCAATCTGTTATATCTCCTGGGTTGGAGACAGAGGCATACCATGCGGATCATACAGCTGAATACGACACATCCGTTGCTTAGGACAGAGCTGTCGAATCTTGCGATACCATTCAAAGGTCTGACCGTGCATGGCCAGGTTGGCCCCTTCCGCCAGGATGCTTTCAAGTTTCTGTCGTCTGTGAGCACGACTAAATTGCCGGATCTGCTTGTGACGTACCAAAAAGGTTGTGACATGTCCCCAACACTTGAACAACGCGCGCAACGATCTGCCTTGGAATCGAAGGGCCTCTCTACGAGCATTCCACATCCTGGAGGAGATGGAAAGAAGTTGGGAGGGGGCAGAACTGTGGGAACGTCTTTTGGGAACGTATTGGATGCACAGAGTACGAAGGTGATGTTCTAGTTCAAGCATACAATCCTGAGCGGAGCGTCCAGGCAGTGAGGTCATGTCATGGATCAACTGGCGTGCACGAGCCTCAAAACGGACCCAACTATCCAACTGTGTCTGGTATGCATGTCTCATAGCAAATCGATCTATCCGATTCAACGGAAAGTGGAGCGGCTGAGGAGCATGCCACTTGGGAAGTGTCACCAGCAAAGGATGATGATGAGGTCCATTGATACCAAAATTCCTTTCGAATTGGGCATTTGTGATCGGCTGCATGCGACGATATTGTACCTACGATTGTCGAATCAGGATGTAGTCTATACGTGAGGCATGTGTGCCATGTGTGAATGTGTGCTGATAGCCCCCTTTACAGTTAACGGCTATCAAGTCCTGAGTTCGCAAGAGCTGCTGCAAGACATGGCTGTCCGAGTGCACATTGTGATGTCTTCTGGGGTCTTCAATTCCTACAAACGGTGGATCAGACGAAGAACCGTGTTGAAGTCTCCAAGAACAACCAAATAATGGGCCTTAGGAATATGGTTCAAACAGTCCTGGAGAGTGTGCCATAACTTTTGTCGTTTTTGAAGGAGGGGTTGAGATCCATGGGATGCAGTCCAAGCGTGTTGACAAACAATGAGAAAATCAATTGTGCGCTTTAGAAAAACTCGCACATGCAAGAGTCGTCCTTCAAGCAATGCAGCTGTGGCTATTCGATCAGCTGGTGCAATGTGAGTGCGTACCATCATCAAGACGGAAGCTTGCTTGCTCGCTGAATGAGTGAAGTGCCACTCGGAGGTGCTCCATGTCGCTGAGAATCCCCAGCCAATCTCCTGGATTGCCAAGACGTCAAGCGGTTGAGCTGAAGCCCATATCAACAATTCTGCATAGATCAATGTTTTCGATGCATTCCACGTCATGCAACGTATGCCTAGTGCAGTGGAAATTGGCTTCAGGTCCTTGCGGGCTGGCGGCAGCTATCGATAAGATTCCCGACACCTCCATGGTACATCAGCGGGAAGCATCAATTTACCTCGATATTCAACCATACCATAGCGCAATGCCCTATAGCATGCTCTTCTGTAAGCGCGCTTAATGCGCAAAATGCGCAGCCGGGCTAAGACTTGGTCGTAGCCATCAAAAGCCCATACCTCATAAAGCTTCGTGGAAGAAAGAATCGGAATCAATGGTTATCCTCCACTCTCGCTCAGAGCTAAGGTACTCTAAATAACCCTCGCGCCGGACATAGTAGCAGGATAAAATGGCTTTGCATCTACCTACATGTCCCCCGGAATTAGGACCGGGAATTCCAATACGATCTTCAGCAGTGAGAAGGCGAAAACAATATATAAGTATAAAAGACCAAGGCATCATCACAAATACAAAACCCCACGGAACATGGCACCTCGCCCCATAAAACGCCCGCAACCTTTGAACTCGAAATAGCGCTTATTTACATTCATTTTATATATATATATATTTCTTTTCCAATTTTATTTTTAAATTTAAAAAGGCTTATATATAATAATATTTAATATTTAACTAATATTCAAAATATATACATATATTATATAAAATTACAAATAATTTTCATAATAATAATAATATATTCATAATTTTTATTCTTAAATATTATTTAAGATTAAATTGCAATTAAATATTGTAATATATATATAATCTTAATATTTTTGTATCTTAACGATATTCCAAGATTGCATAGAAGCAATATATTTACATAGAATTATATATATTTTTTTCAAATAATTCTAGGAAGGGGGAGTTTAAAGAGATATCAAAATCCGCTGTCGCGCCGCTTCTCTATGCGCAGCTACCCCCATGGTGTAGCCCTTGCAATACGTAATATTTATGTATATATTCAAAAGTGAGGCCTCAACACTTTGGTTCCCTGTAGCGTCTGTGCGCGGGCTGTGCTACGTCCGAAGGCTGCGAAATGTATGAAGTGAGTGATTCTGCGGCGCCAAAAACAAGACCGTAAAACCTGGCGAGAAGATAGGGGGATAATGCTAGTAATGTACAAGTAACTACAACTAATGTAGTTATGTACAACAGCAGTGATAGCGCTCATGGAAAAGCTAATTCTTTAGTCGAATGTTTGGCGCATTTTGGCACCACACCTGGGTATGTTTTCTGGCCGCCAGGGCCGCCCCCCTGGGAGCCTCCAACAGAACGAGCGGCACCAAAAGAAAGTTTCAGAGGAAAGACCGGACAGAGAGAGAGGCTGGGAGGCCAAAAGCCCCGGCATCATTGAACCTCCATGGGATCTGGAATGATGATTCTTTTTGATATTTCGCGGGCTGTGTTGGGCAACACAGCGGCAACATGTTGAGTCTGAACAGTATATACTATACAACTAAGCCGAATATTATCAATTTCTGAATCATTTCTATAGTATTCTATAGTCTTTTATGTTTATACTATTTTATATTTGAATGTTTTCGATTGTATCAGCCGTGATTTGGGTTCACAACCTCGATTGAATGCATTTTGACCCGTTGTTTTGCAACGGAGTGCATATATCAGGATTTCCAACCAGTCAACTAACCAACCAGCCAAGCAGCACTCGCCGATCAGACAGCAGGCCTTTGATGTAGTAGACCTGAAAACACACCAAGAATCGGCAAGTTAATAGCCTTGCTAGACATCCAGACTCCAGACATGAACCCAAGGTCACACTGAGGCTCAATTCTTTTTTATCCGTCTTAACCGCTGACGAACCAATGGGATCTTCACCTTTCAAAGCAGAAGTGGTCGAACGAGTTGGTTGCAGCTGGGGCACTTGAAATCCAGAGACACCAATCAAGATCAAGAACTCCACTACGCAGAAGGACAACCTGAGTTAGTTTCAAGAGCAGTGATGCAATCCAAACAAACCGCTCGACCCACCTGGAGCAGAATATTCGTCCTTCACCAGTGCAATCCTTTGGAGACGACACCAGTGCAGTCTCCAGTCCATTCACCGCAAATCGAGAACCCTGGTGAACATATCTTCGATGAAGTGGGTGGTCGCAAAATCCTAATCGACCGCTGATCACAAACATTGGCGAGACTCTCACCACCAAACATGTAACAATGATTTGCAGGGCTTCCAAGGCATTTCACCCAGTATTCCTTGTCCACTGCTCACTCCTCAACTGCACAAAGAACGGCTTGAACATTCCGGGACAGGCCACACACCTCCCTCTCACAATCTTGCAAGCAAAGCCACACACGGGTGTGAATATTTTCCACCGCCTAGGCATACCCATTGAGCAACGCGCGTTGAAAGAACTCCCTCCCAAAATGCTGACAGCACAGCGTGGCCGAACCTTCAGTTGGCGGCGGCCCTGAAAGGAACACACTAACACACTCGATAACCTCCTGTGCCAGCTTTTTCAGCTCTTGACTTGACCGAAAAACACGAGCGCCGTATGAACATTGTTTGAACATCCCGGTGTCCTCCTCTTGAGTGGGAGGTCGGAGACCCGGCAACAAAAAGGAATGATTTTGGATCAACGAATCGGATGGAATGTTTGGCAAGCAGTGATTTTCCGCGGTTGCATCATTGTGTCAGACTGTCAAGAAGTGCGTGGATTCAGTTTGGGAAGGATTTCTCGTGTTGATGGAAGAAGAGTTCAGGTCGCAGTAATTAATTAGTTATTCAATTTGATCTTTTCCAAACCAGTACAATGCATTACACATGGCTCTGGTCTCTTTCTGCTCGGATTTGGTTTGTTGGGACCTTTTCTTGTCTGCAGGAGGATTATCTGTTGTCTGTGGGCTGTGAAACTCATGGCAAGAAACCAATTGCAATCCTCGGTGCACTTCGGGGCAAAAAACAGCCAGCTCACCATGAGCTCACAAATGCTCACCCTTCAGTGGGGCGTATTCAGGCACAAGCAGTGTGGCATCAATATTTTTTGGCTGTTTAGCACAAAGCATCTCCCAAACACTCCATGTATGGAACACCAAACAGAACAAGGGTGTCCGTTTGCAAAGCTGAGCAGTTTTGCTAACCTCACCAGTCTTTGCATTTGTCAAGGGCACAAGACCCCTTCATTGGTCTGTACACGGATGTGGGAGGTCGACAGAGGTCGCAGCGCAGCGCTGGTGGCGACACGTTGCACCGATGCGCCGGCACGTCGCCCGCTACGTGGTGGCTACGTGGTGGCCACCAGTTCTTCGTACGACGAAAACGACCCGGATGAGGCTCGGTGTCTTTCAACAGGTTTGGAGGTTCTTCGTATTGGGTACCGAGAAGCTGGACATGGACTCCGACAAAGGAATTTATTCTGCTTGGATGATGAGCCAGGAGGGAAAAAGAACAAGGACCGTTGAACTAAAGCTTCTTTAAGTTCCGAAGCTGCACAGCGACGTGGAGTTTATGAAGAAAGCACCAAATAGCACCAATCATAGCCAATCATACCAATCTCCAATATCAATGTGTTTTTTCTCTGCGGTGTCCATGTTTTTCCTCTCAGTTTCTGGCAGGTTGCCTGCCCTCTGGTATCATGAGGGTCACTCACCAAACACCAGGTCGTCACGTCACTCGTTCTCCTGCCTTCATGTGGGACTTCTGCCGGATCCTCCAGGCAATCCGATGGGGTCGAGTGAGGGGTCTTTTGAGCAGCGAAGGGCTCGAGCACAGTCAAGATGGATGGCCATTCTCCAAATGTTGAGTGCCCAGTGACCCATGGTGACCGTACCCTGCCAATGGAAGTGAAACGACCGGAAAACACCACCTGTTTGGAGAATTTGTAGCCTTGAAAACGGGGTCAAACGTTCCACTTCCATGGGTACGTCTTGCATACGCTGGAAGACTTCTACAATAATGCACGTGATTTCTTTCGAGTGTACGACTTGCTAGATCTTGCTGAAGACTGAAGACTATAGTATATCAAAACACATATCAACGAAGGTTAAGCCACACAAGCAAATGCAATATGCAGCTGCAATCATTGTCACGCATGCGCTTAGCCAAGGTTCCAAAGGTAAGTTGACTCTGTCTGGATGTCAACCAGCGTCTTTTCAATCCACTTCACAGTGTCCTGAACATCAGGGTTGCCAAGCTGTCAACTCTCTCTGAAACAGTAGAACGATAGGGACCCCTCATGACCCCTCTCTGAATGGCCATAATAACATCCGTGCAGTCATCCCCAAGTGAATTGAACATGGAGATCCCGAAACCATACGAAAAATAGCAATGCTTTGACATCTGCTACCCTTCTCCCCAAATCCCTCAAAATCATCGACCCCCTCGTTCGGGCATTTATGTGAAAAGATTCACACATAACGACTAAACCAGTGGGTCTGGGGATGTCTGGGGTGGTCTTACTGAGTTTTCTGGGAAGGAGTATTGTTCTGTGTGCTGTTCTGCATGATTCCATCGAGTCTCAAACGTCACACTGCACAAAAAAGATCAAACATGCGGCAAGAAAGGAGCGTCATCTTTGAAGATTCTCGACCAATCCTAGGAATCTGCAGACTCAGAACATCTCAGAACTCACACTCTTCGGATCTCTTCGGATCTCTTCGATGTGGAATGGCGTGGTTCGAGTGTGCATCTTGGGCAGAAACCCCATCGTCTCCCAGTGGCGGACACTGACTGGGCGATGGCGAGACATCGCAGCTCCGGCTCAGACATCGACCGACCGAGACTGGCACCAGGAGACCGGACACTTCCCGAGGTTCCCGGAGGCATGCGAGCGGACTGGCATGCTCCTGCCTCCATGCTCTCCAAATGCTGTGGCTGCAAGTGTGTCTCATTGCCCTTTCCGACAGCAAAGGTCACCATCTTCTCCTCCGCGATGCGAACGAAACATCAGATCGATCAACGCTACTACGCCACAACGCCGGCGCGAAAGCGCAGGTAGGTTTCCACCGGGCAGAAACGCGTTCCGAGCCGAGCCGAGCCGAGCCGGGCAGTTGAAGCTAGCTTTGCTAGCTTTTCATCGCTTTTCTCAGTAGATCTGAATATGATGAAATAGATAGATTGAATCACTCGACAATCCTTTAAAGCCCCCTTTTCGCCGGAAAACACCTAGTTTTTCGCGCCAAACCCTTCGGAGGTAGGTGCATCACCCCAGTGAACACACTGGGGGGATGCAGCACGTCGGACCCATTCCACCCGGTTCATCGGTTCATCCGGCGGATCTCCTCCATCCATCTATGATTGCTAACCTCGCGAGCCACGACTACTGACACATTCGAAATCAACCATGCGGACCATGCACGTATTTCTTTTGCCTTGTTAGCAAATGGAGAAGGGATGCAGAAATTGAATGAACCTGAATGAAAGCTCATTTGGGACACAAATCCCTGAGCGGGTTGTGTCATCTCTGAGCTCACCTCATCTCACTTGCAGTTGGTATGACAAACAAGACATGCAAAACAAAACACCAAAGCAATTATCATATGTGTTGCACAACTCATATGTGGCTCACTTCATCAAGATCTGTTGCAAATGAAACCTCCAGACTTCAGCCATCTTCATGTCCAGATCTGGCCACCTCTCTGGGCTTCAAGAAAAGGCTTGCCAGGCGGCGATGAAGGTGTAGGTGCCACTCCGCTTGGCGATGAAGTGGAACAAACCTTCCGCCTGAGGAGCGAAAAATGATTCGGTTGGACTCGAACTGGGCTGGAGAAATGGAACACCGAAGGAACACCAACACATCTGGCATGCAAATCGAAGGTCAACGGCCTGGTCCTTCTTTTCCTCAGGACACACATTCGCAAGCAATCATGCGACAAAAAGGAATCTCTCTGCTGTTTTTCCGACTCACAGGTGTTTGTTTTCTTGCAGCCTGGGCCTGGGCAAGCAACAATCTGCGGCTAAACTTGAGCTATTCCAACCGTTTCAACCATTTGCAGTTGAGAGTCGAAGATCACATTGCCTTTTGGATCATGGATGCTAAACCTGAGAGCTGTGGCGACTTCGTTCGCGGCTTCTCAAACGAGATCTCGTCCGTAGGACCGAACTTGTCCCGGCAGGTTCGTTTGATTTTTTTAAGATATACCTTACAGTAATTAACACTGTCTGAAGTCACAGCGTATGTCTGAAGTCACTGCGCAGCCTGCGCATGTCGGATTTTGCGCTCCATCGTGGAAAACACGTCCTTTCCATGGGCTCAGCGGACTGAGCTCCAGGCTCTACAGTTGAGGTCTCCTGGCCAAGTGGGAGGGCACGGGGGGGGCACCAGTTTAGTCGAGTTTAGGAATAGCAAGTGTTGGAGCCACTTGGACAGGAGGCTATGCTTTCAACCGCATGAACTTTTGAACTGACCCAAAGACTCATCTTCTCCAGCTTGACAATATTGAAAAGGCTTCCATGTTCCTCCTCAGAACACCGATGAAGCCTGATACTACACCGATGAAGCCTGATGAATTTGTCATCTCTCATTTGCATCAAAGGCGGGCGAACGCACACGGGCACGCACAAAGCACCAAGGTTCTCGCTCTCAGTGCTAGGAGCTACGTCACGATCCGATCCCGATCCGATCCCGATCCGATCCCGATCCGTCGGAGCCATCCGCCTCCGAGGCCGACGCAAAGAATCCGCCACGGATGAGCACAGGTGGGCTATTCTCGGGGATGTCCTGCCCAAGGGCAAAAGCTTCAGGCACTGCAACACAGCTTCAGGTGCCGCGCCGGCTCATGTCCAAGAAAAGGGTAGAATTAGTCTAGTACAGTAGTTAGCTAAATCTTGTCCACTGGGCACATGGTCTCACTGCTCATGAGAACTAAAACTATTCCAATGAATGCCGACAGTCTTCCTTATCCGGTTTCCATGAATGCAAAGGTTGACAAAAGCGACTTGGAACAGCTCAACATCGCATGCAGCGTTGACGCTTGCCTGGCATCTGTGCATCCGGAGACACCTCTTAGAAAGAGAAGCATGGCATAACCACTGCCATTTGATCGCACCATCAGAAGTTGCGCTTGACAATCTGGATGTTTGCGACTGTTTTCCTCGTTTAGGTCTTCTTTGGTCTGTTTGGGTCCGGTGTCCTCGTAGAAGAACTCGTCACTACGCCCAGGCAACGGAAAGGTCAGGAGCAACTCCGGGGTGAAGCCCTGTGCTACGCCCAGGCCCAGATTGCTGATTAGCGTGGCATGCTGTGCTGGTCTTGCTTCTGAAGAAGTCATACACCACCGCGGATGCTAAAAACACTGGACATCGCAATGGGTGCAAGATGCTCTTCTTCAATAGAGTACCTAGAATCTAGAACAACAGAATGTCTTGCCAAAAACCCGTACTTGCTACTTTCTAGACTTTGCTACTTTTGATCTGGAGCAGGATGAAAAAAACAGAGCTACACCATGCTGTACATCTTTCTTCAGTTTGTTCCGAGCGCCTCCATATGCTTGTCCCACTCATCCACCAAGCTGTTTGGTGTAGCCTTAGAAGTCGTCATTAGGCATCGGCAATTGGTGTTTCCAAACGCTTCGCTCGAGCACAACCGAAGAACTTGATGTCCAAAACAGACCCAACAGTTGCAAAAGCGCTTCGAAACACCTCTTAGACGTGGCATTTGTTCAAGGATGATGGATGGGCTTGGCATCCAAAAATCCGCTACGTAAGCCTTCCTGCGACTTGCTTGCACTAAGACATACTTGTTATGTTGTCTGACCAAGACGTATTCACCATATGCTGCTGCTACTGGCTACGCACTGTTGACGCTATCGTCTCACAAAATCAGCACAAACACTGACAAACACACACACACATATGCAAAAATTGCCGTGAAATACCATGTGCACTCATGTGCCGCAAACATGTTTTACAGCACCTACATGAAAAACTCTCAGCTCACCTCTTCCCCTCTCAGCTCCTTCTAAAACCATCTCGACCCCTTTCCCGGATGGAGGACCGGGTGTCCCGGACGTCGTCCTTGGCCGCCTCCAGGGCACCGAGGTTGGGATCCTCCGGCGGAACGCCGCCCACCTCGTAGTCCTGAACGACGACGCGTGCGGTGACGGTCGGTGACGGTGTGAGTGACGGGTCCCGGTCCGGTCGCACGGCGAAAGGGAAGGGCAACGGGAGGTCTTTTTGGTTGGTGGGAGATGCTTTTTTTTGTGGTGTAGAGGTGAAGAAGCGGGGGGGGGAGCATGTGACGGAGAGGTTTTAGGGATTGAAAGCTGTCCGAATTGGGCAGGTTCTGTGGGAAGTTGGAGAAGTGAGAGTTTTGGGGAGTGGAGTCTAGAAATTCCGGATGAGAAGAAGCGATTTGTGCCTCAGTCAGGAAGGACGCTCGCCTTGTCATGCCCCAATTAACTGAAAGGAAAGTTGAGTTCCAGAAGCTTGAGGGCCATGGGTGTATTGAATGTGAGCTGAATGGATGTCACCGCAGACGAGGTTAGGTGGCGAAAACATGGATCCCAGTATTGAAGGCGAGCTCCCTGTATGTGGTTCCAGCATTAGACAATGAAAGAGCCTCTCTTAACTGTCTCATCCAGTTCTGAGCCACAACCAGAACAAACATCTGCAAGTATATAACAAGCGTTGTTCAAGGATGACAGGCAAAGCTATACGTTGACAGGCCTTATTGCCTTCTTACATCATTGACATTCCTTTACCCATTGAACATTGACATCTAGATTCTATCTGGAAAAATAATCAACCTTCGGTCTTCATTCTTCAATCGCACACAGACCCGAAAACAACGGCTGGCCCTGGCCTGCTCCACGCCACCTTCTGCTAGCAAGCCTAGTAAAGAAACATGTCTAGCAAAGAACAGGGTTCCTTTCAAGGAACAGGTGGTGGTGAAGCTTGATATGGATCTGGATGCGTGTGATCATTCTTAGAACAAGTCTGATAGAGTACGTAGTTTGCGCGGTGGATATTTTACGTTACATCCAGTGATTGATTTTTCCTGCATCACCCAAGACAAGCTAGTAGTAGACCTTTTCAGCATGATGAGGAATTTTCACTAGACTGTCAGGTCTTGACTATCTTTCTAGAGAACATCGGCCTGTCTTGACGAGCCTGGCAGGAGGAGTGCGACGACCGCTGCCCGCAACATGCTGCCTGGCATCCGTTTTTGTGCGCGGAGAGATGCTGTTTTCCCTCCCGAAATCGGCTGCGTCCATTTTCAGAAAAACCTGTGTTTTCAGCTGATCATAGCTGATCATCATCATTTGCGGCAAATACTCTGTTCCCGCACATGAGGCCTCGTTCCAGAAACTGCAGGTGGTTCGACCAAGCCGTCAAAGACAGGAGCGGAGCGGATCCTCCTAATTTTAGGCTTGAATATGTGCCTTCGTTTGAGTAGTATTGTATTAGGATGTATCGGGCTCAAATGCCAATAAAGCCTAAGGTTTTAGTTTGAAGTATTTTGAAGTATTTTGATGGTTTGAAAGCACCAAATAGTCTCTGGAGGGAACATCAAGGCCACATGGATTGCTAAATCATCAAGGCCACATTGTACATCTGCAAATGGTATATACTATAGTATATACCTGTCGTCAGGATCTCAGATGGCGTCGGCAAGTTGGCAAAATGCAACGTAGCTTCTCCTGCCTCTAACTTCCTCAAAAACAAACACCAAAGCAAACGCACACACACAAAATTATAGACTATACTATGTCCATTCAAGCCGAAGAATTGAACAAACTCTCGCGGATGAGGTAGAAAGGCTCTTTTATTACGGATCTGCTGTACGGATCCACAGTTCGACCTTACAAATCGATTATCTATACTGTATAAACATTCCTCAAATGCCATCTATGGATCTCAAGTCACTGCAGCTTTCAATCATGACTCTGTTCGAGTGCTTCCTTCCCTACCTTTTTCCTGCGGTTCTCCGTTCAAATCAACGTGAGTCAGAGTCTTCTTGGCCCGTCAAGCGACTCACAGGGTGGGTTGCTGGGATCACAACGATGGCAACACTGGATCTTGCTTTCAGAAACCATGATCCAGTGGTTTCTCAACACAATGGCAAGAAGTATAGGAAGCAATCCAATCCATTTGAGAGTTTCCTTTTAGCTCTTTTTTTTACATTTTGGCTGGACAAACCACAAGAAGATCAGCCCGCTCCTTCTGTCTCACCCTGTGTTCGGGACTTGCCAGCTCTAAGTGCTGGCTGAGCGCAGGTTTTTCGTTTGAGGTCGCACCAGGTGTCGCCTTCTTCGTGTTTGGAACCAAGATAGTCCGTGCCAACACCCACAGAACTCACTCAACCCAACGCAACATACATGCAAATATGCACCAAAACCAGGTATATCACACAAATTTAAATGCCAGTTGGCTCCAAGGACGAGGTGATCAACAAGCTGGATTATGCTGGATTCTTTTGGAGGATTTGCATTTGGACGCATGTTGGGTACGTGGCCGTACGAATCTCGGCACTGGCGCGGTGATGACTCAGCGGCTATGGAATGCCATGGGCCACATGGCTTCGCAAGATCTTCCATCCCTGAACATGCCAAGGCTGAAACGCGAACGAAGAAGTCCATCAGTCATATTGATATGACTTGGATTGGTCAAATTCACTGTTGATGAGGACCGTCAATGCCTTGACCGAAAACTGTTATCATCTGTTACCGTGGCAACAGGACCAATTCGGCATGCCTTGACTCAAAGGGATACCAGCACCGGCCACCCAGCAATGGTGCTGGAAAAACACCGACCAAGCTATGATGCTTTGTGACTTTGGGATGTTTCGTCGTCATCATGTATTTTCCTGTGTTTCCATCCAAAAAATGCTTGTGCAACTGGGTGCAATCCCTTCCTTTGCTGACTGTGTCTTGGCCGTTGAATGGACGACCTTCTACCGACGACAGCGATCATTCAGCGCAGCAATCGCAGCAGGACATGGTCTGTCCGAGGAAACATCCAATGCAAGTGAGCAATCCGCTAGCTCAATTGTTGCCATCTTAAACTTATAATTAAAAGAGCTCTCAAGCATATGTATATATATATAGATCCAGTTCTTTCTCTTTGAACATATTCTATCCACAGGTTCACCTTTCTTCTAGTTGGATTGCCACTGTTTATCTTATAAACAGGCAAACCAACTAGTGTAGAGGAGGACATGATGGCATGCCCTTGGGTTTTTGGTTTGGGGATGTCCTAGGACCACCAGCTTGAGACGCACTTCAAAAAAGGTGACATAACACATATCAAAACCGTCTTCCAGTGGGAAAACTGATGGTAACAAAACTGAACAAAACCGAACAATCAGTGAATAGAGAGAATATGAGAGAATAGAGAGATGGTACAACTCCCAAGCTTCTTCGACAATCCACATCCCACCGACCACCGGGGCCGTTCGCGGCTAGCGCGAAGCAAAGGTCGGCCGCGGTCGTGGAAGATCCAAGTCGTAGACCTGGCGACATTGGTCGTCAAGCAACATGTGTTGCTTCATGAAGGTTTTAGGGATTGAGATGGTGCTTAAGGCTTAAGGGATGGTTCAAGGAAGGTTTTAGCCTGGTTTCCTTTCAGTTCCGGTTCCGGATCTCTTGTTCTTTTGGGACTGGATGCACCACCGTCCCAGCTGGATGGACCACCGTCCGGCCATCTTCGGATGAGCGTCTTCGAGGACGGTCGTGATGGTTTTTGCACGGAAACACACATGGGGACGGTTGTGACGGCTCTTAAGTTCTTACATATATATATATAATGATATTATTTATTATCATCACAAAGAATCACACATCTATGTACATATATATATATATATATATATATATATATCGGAATATCTCGTCGGTATACATGGTTTACTAATTGCTTGCCACTAAAAGCACGCTGGCCAAAAACAGCACCTGTAATTAGCCACATGTAGGGCGTTCAGAAGGCTCAGGTCGTGCAGCATCCCAGAAAACTGATGGACAGTTACAATGCAATGAATCTACTCTACCGAAAGCGAGCCAAACGTGGTGGCCACCTACCATTGTTGATTTCCACATCCCCCTGCACAAAAAGCCAAGACCTGAGAAACTCAGAAGCGGATCGGCATGCAGCTCACAGAAACTCCAAACAACAGGAGACAAAAGGTGTGTTTCGGTCTCTGCAATGAAAGTCCCTATGTCCTGAGGGTTAGCCGCTTAGCCCTGAGTCCTGAGGGTTTGCAACTCACCTCACTCGGTCAGTTCAACCTCTGCAGCAACTGCTCCAGCAACTGCTCCAGCAACTTCGAACCCAGTGAACCTCCTCTTCAGAGTCTTTTCCTTCCCGAAACACCTCTCTATCCAGGACCTGGACCCAGATGGACCCGGACGTCCGGGTCCTAACTCTGCCAGGCGGACGGCTCGAATGCAGGCCCATGCCTCACAGTCTCCGACTCTCCAAACGACGTACGCCGAAGACCTTTCGGATCGGATTGGAGCCGAAAAGCCCCGAAAAGGCTTGGACTCTTCTTTTGCTTGGACTCTTCTTTGATGATGCTTCTTCTTCTTCTTCTTCTTCTTCCTTCTTGGGGGCCATCACAAAACACGAACGCCGTTCCATCGCCCAGTGCCCCAGTGCCCCCTTCCTCCGCGCCGAACTGCACCGCGCCTTGCCGAGGTCGAACTCATCGGGGCGACCAGCGCCTCTGGAGCGAAGGCCTTGGAGGACGGGAGAGGACGACGCGGGGAACCCGTCCGTTTTCGGTTTTTGGACGAAAAGCAGGGTCACCTGGTCAAAGGAAACCGCTAGGTAGGCTTTGCCCGCGAGAAAATGCAAGAAATAGGCATGACTCGCATGACTGAGAGTCGTTTGACTTGTTTCAGGCCGTATTAATTCTGGAGAGTTCTTCCTCCAACACAGAGGTCATGTCTGATCACTCAGGCTCTAGGTAATTCGTACGTATCATATAATATATATATATCGATTTGGTACCATACGAGTATATACATGTCATAAATACCTGTATTTTTTGGGTGGTATTCCCTCTATTATTAATCAACCAAACACTTGGCCGACGAGATCAGGGTCTCCAAGCGCGTTGGAGGGGTTTCGGAGGTCAACTGGTGACACGCAGTCTTAGAGGTTTAAAGATGAAGTCTGAAGGTGTCTTTTTACTCTCAGTATGACTTAGTATCTCTTAGTTTTCAGCATTGCGGCGACGGAGATCCAAAAGATCTTCGCTGGAGTTCTGTCACCCTGAAATCCTTCGTCCCATTTCGTCCCGCTGAAAGCAGCGGGTCTTGCACTGATGACTTGAGGAACACCCCTTGGCTTTCTCCCTGTGTGAAGCAACACTGATGACTCGCGACTAGACAGTTCTGTCTGGCTATTTCAGCGACCAAATCATGCTCCTACGTGTTCCTATCAAGATAAATGAAATGTTCTTGTATAAATGCTTTGACTTCATCACCCATATCATATCCTCATATATCATCCATTGTCACCTGTAGGTTCCTTTGACATCCTTTGACATTTTTGTTTCACCCTGAACAGCTTTTTTCCCCAAACAATTTACTGTTAGGGGTTCTCAATGCTTTAAAGAATGGTCGCCTTGGTGCTGGATGGTCTGGTCGGGTTCCCGGCCGGCTTGTCTCCCACTTCCTTTGTCTCCCAGTTCTTTTCAGTCGGGGTTCCCGGCTGGCTTGTCTCCCACTTCCTTTCATTTGCCTCCCAATTCTTTTCATTTGTCTCCCAGGCCACTTCCTTTCATTTGTCTCCCACTTCTTTTCATTGTCTCCCAGGCTGGGTGCTTGTGGTCGGGTTCCCGGCCAGCTTGTCTCCCACTTCCTTTCATTTGTCTCCCACTTGTGGTCGGGTTCCCGGCCGGCTTGTCTCCTACTTCCTCTTATTTGTTTCCCACTTCTTTTCATTTGTCACCCACTTCTTTTCATTTGTCTCCCAGGCTGGGTGCTTGTGGTCGGGTTCCCGGCCGGCTTGTCTCCCACTTGCTTTCATTTGTCTCCCGGTTCTTTTCATTTGTCTCCCAGGATGAAGCATTTCTATTCATATGTCTCCCAGATCCGTCATTGCTGGTGCCATGTAGCATTTCTATTCATTTGTCTTTGTCATTGCTAATTTCCGCCCTTTTCCGCTGGCCATGCAGCATTTCTATTCATTTGTCCCCCAGGCTTGTCACTGGTGGTGTCCGCCATTTTCCGCTGTTTCTATTCATTTGTCTCCCAGCTCTGTCACTGTTGGTGTCCGCCCTTTTCCGTTGGCCATGTAGCATTTCTATTCATTTGTCTCCCAGGTCTGTCACTGCTAGTGTTTTGTTTCCCAAGTCTGTCACTGCTGGTGTCCGCCCTTTTCGTCGGCCATGCAGCATTTCTATTCATTAGTCTCCCAGGTCTGTCACTGTTGGTATCC